CTTGTTTGCTTTGGCCTATGAAGCCGGACTGGGATGGGACAGAGCCCCTTCCGCCTCCCTGGGGCCTCAGGCTGATCTCCACAGCAGGATGGGGTCTCCTTGGGGTGGCCAGGGCCCAGGAAGTGGGGAGCCCATGGGAGCGATCTGGGCAGCAGGACCTCCCTGTGGGCCTGGAAGATTGTGTCAGAAGCAGAGGACCAGACTCAGTGATCCCCCCTAGATTTGGGTGTCTGGGTGGGGAGACTGGTGCGACACCCCCCAGGCAGTGACACCACGTTGTCCCCAGCTGGCCTAGCCTACTCAAACCTGGTGTACGACTGGGTGAAGGCAGCTGTCCTCTTCGGTGTGGTCAACACGGTGGCCCGCCTCGACCACTTGGACCCACCCCAGCCTCCCAAGTGCATAACCGCGCTCTACCTCTTCGCGGAAACGTGAGTGCGGGTATCGGGCATCAGGGACACACCCTTGGGTTCCCCTCCTTCCCTGAGCCCATTCCTGTGTCCCCAGGAGCCCTGCTCCTGGTTGATTCACACTCAGCTGCCCTCCTCCCACAGGCACTTCGATCGTGGCATCAACGACTGGCTCTGCAAGTGAGTTGGGGTGGGGGGTGGTCACAATCATCCCTCCAGGGGTTTGAGCAGGCAGGGCAGAGATTGGTCCATGTTTTAAAAGATCACCCTTGGCCCAGAGGAAGCAAGGAGGGCAGCGAGGAGGTGGTGGCGGAGGTCTGCAGTTGGGTGGGGCCCTGGAGTGAAACAGCAGGAGGCCTGGGCAGGACTTGGCCATGGATGGCAGGGAAAGAGAGGGAGATGATTCCCAGATTCTTATCTACAGCCTGGGAGGTGGCTGGGGTGGTTTCCAGAAAGGGGTTCCATATGAGAAACTTCCGGCTGGAATCCGGGAGACATTCCCGTGGAAGTTCAGGGAGGTGGTTCAGAGAAGCCGGAGCACAGCAGGCCCGTGTAGGAGGGCGAGGCATTCCACCTGAAGGCTCTGGTTTCCCCCATGAAGTGGGAGGCAAGGTCATCAGCTGAGAGATACAGGGTCGGGGGGCATGGAGGGAGGTGGCATCTCCATGTACTCCATCCACCTGCCTAGGTCCCCCCCACACCCACTCATACTTGGCAAGGGGAGCTAAGGGTGGCATATCCACTGCAGAGCACAGGAGAAGCTGACTAGAGAAACCTCGGCTTTGAGTGCCCAGGGGGGTTTGGAGGCAGCGGGTTTATGGACGGACTCTAATATGTGAAGGTGTGCGATTTCCCCCATCAGCACTTAGCTTCGTGGGTGCAGATGAGAAGGACTGGGTGACTGGGCTCTCCCAGATGGGCGAGAAGGAAGATGTGAGGGATGGGGGGGTTTAGGTTATTTATAATGATGACTCACTGACTAGAAGCCTGGTAAGGAGGGGCCACGAGATGAGGAAGATCGAGTGTCAATGAGACTGGAGAACTGGAGCTGGCAGGCCAGGCCAGGAGGGGCTGGGCGAAGAATGGGAATTAAGAATGAGGGACATTTCAAGTGGTGGCAAAGTCGGGGTGTGGCCATGGGAGTGGGTGGCTGAGGTGGAGTGGAAAAGAAACCGTTAGAAATGAGGAGGTCAAGGACATTATTCCATGGGTCTTCTAATGAATTCATTTAACGAATATTTATTGAGCACCTGCTATGTGCCAGGCACTGTCTAGGCACCAGGGATACAGCAGTGAACGTGGCAAAGTCCCTGAGCTCATGGGACTTACAGTGTAGTGGGGAGAAACAGACCATAAACAGGTGAACAAGCACATAAATAACCTGAGAGTGGTAGGCGTTATGAAAACACACACACCGATATAACGGGATAGAAGCTGGCCGCAGGATCTGGGCAGGCCTCAGTGAGGTTTGAGTGACAAGGGAATGTGGGGAAGCTAATTCAAGACAGAGGAAACAACAAGTGCAAAGGCCTGAGGCAGGACCTGCTGTGTCTGAGGGACAGGAGGCCAATGAGGCCAGAGCCTTATTGACGAGGCCAAGGAGGAGGCAGAAAGCAGAGGACACGGCCTCTCCCAGCCACAGGAAGGACGTTGAGTTTGTTCTAATTGTAATGGGGGGGG